GTTCACTTGCTTGCTTGCTTGCGCGCGTACGACCGTGCAAATCTTTTGGTCGTTTTTTAACCCACTTCCCGTGATCCAATCGAGCTGACATTTTCCACACAGACTCGTTGTGCGTGACAATTAATTTTCGTGAAATTTTTTTTCCAAAATTTTACACTTTTTAGGTAAATTTTTTTTTTATATTTAATTACCAATTGCTTAATGGTGGCAGGCAATCATCTGACCCATAGGTGGCAGCCATCTCAAGCCAGAGGACGAGAGGACTCTAGCCGCCCGTTTCAAAGACCAATGTGGGCTGGGTTGTGGCCCATTGAACACGCATATAAAGGATTTATAGTGAAAAACTTTGTTTTTACGGGTAAATTTTTATATACACTGTATACTGGTTGAGGGTGGGAGGAGCCAAGGTAGGCCCTGAATATAATTTTTGTGAGGTTCGGTGTTGGCTCTGCGTCTACCACCAGCAGCCAGGCGAAAGGAAGGAAGAAAGACGAAGATCACAGGGATGGTGGCTCAACTTGCATTCGGCCCCTGGGACAGCGACGGCACACAGCCCCACTGCTCAGGGCTTGTGTCGCGACCTCTGCCGAGATGGGGAGGAGGGAGGGGGGGTCAAGTTGACCGTGGCGGCGTCGTTCCTCTGCAATGGCATTTCGCAGAGATTCACTCAACCCGACCCTCGTACCCGCGGCGTGCGTCCCAGCCCGTGTCGGCGAATTTCATGGCCGAGCCCGTGGTTTTCGTTTGCTGCGAACTGCATCCGACGCGCCCTGCAACGCGGTTCTTTTGATGCCGATTTCTGCTTTGCCCCCTCGCCGCACCTAAACTCCGCTTTGTCATTGCGGTGGTCACGGCCCAACGTTCCACCTGTAGTGACATGGGAGGGGCTGCTGGGGGGCTCTGGGACCCTGGGCGGCCCAGGCGCTTGGGCCCCTTGGCGCCAGGCGCTGGGTTCCCAGGCGGCCCAGGCGCTTAAGCCCCTTGGCGCCACCAACGGGGGGGGGGGGGGGGGGGGCTGTGTGTGCTCTGTGGGATATCTGGGGGCGCACACAACCCCACCCCTCGTTGGGGACGAGGCATAAAAGGGGAGCTCCCTGGCCGATCAGGGCCAGTTGTAGCTCAAGACCCAAGACCCAAGACCAGCCATCTCAGGACCCTGGGACGCTGTGAGGGCCAGTGGTGGGACTCTGGAACTCCCGGCTCTACGTCCTTGTGAGGGCGAGTTCCAGAGCGTAGCCAGAGTAGTGTATCTAGGCTGTGTATCTAGGATGTGTACCTAGGCTGTAACAGAGTATCAGGACTGTTGGAGTGTTGGATTGTAATAAATAAGTTTCCTCTACAAGTGTCTCCGGAACTCGTTACACACCGTTGGGGGCACAACAATTGTAAGCCGAGCCGTGCGCATGTGGGGTGGAGCAAACCGTGCGCCGCATCCCAATCCGCAAGCTCAGCGGAGGTCTGCTCGGAGTATCATCATCGCCGGATGCAAAGCGCGTGGCTCGGGGACTTTGCATTCGCCAAGTAAATGAAACTGCGCTGGAGGCCGGGTCCCTCGCCCACGAGACTCGCTGCTGATCTCTTTGACTTCATCTCGGGTCACGCGCGAAAACAACGCAGCCACTCGAAGTCAACAAACTTGAATGCGAAATCTGTCTAGATTTGAAGTTTTCGTGACTGCAAGCATCCATACTCTTTAGTTCTTTCGGTAAAGTCCAGTAGGTAGGTGAACAAACAAAATGAGAATAAAAATAAGAAAATTAAAAATAGAAATAACTAAATTAAATCACTATCACTGATTTTAAAAAAAATTCTATTTTTTTTTATTCTCATTTTTTTAAATTGTATTTTATGTTTTCACCTACCTACGTGACTTTACCGACAGAACCAAAGAGAATGCAACATCTGTTAGATCTGTGTTACGCACATACCCAAAGTACATTGAGCCGAAAACTGAACACGCCAAAACTGAAAATGTTTTGAATACAATAGGCAACGTTTCAGGCGATGGCCCTTCTTCATAGCAAACAGAGAGGGGACCAGGCAGAGAACACAACGAGCAAGTCCCGTGACGGCAGCGATTATGGAATGTGAGAGAGAGACCTCGACTCGTGCTGGGAGGGGAGGAATGCAACCCCCAGAGGACCTCCACCATGGAGATGAAGCGGTGGGAGCCTTTAACATTGAAGTCTATGGGAGCCTTTAACATTGGAGTCTATGGGAGCCTTTAACATTGACGTATATGGGAGCCTTTAACATTGACGTCTATGGGAGCCTTTAACATTGAAGTCTATGGAAGCCTTTAACATTGAAGTCTATGGGAGCCTTTAACATTGCAGTCTATGGGAGCATTTAACATTGGAGTATATGGGAGCCTTTAACATTGACGTCTATGGGAGCCTTTAACATTGCCGTCTATGGGAGCCTTTAACATTGAAGTCTATGGGAGCATTTAACATTGAAGTCTATGGGAGCCTTTAACATTGAAGTATATGGGAACCTTTAACATGAAGTCTATGGGAGCCTTTAACATTGAAGTCTATGGGAGCATTTAACATGGAGTACATGGGAGCCTTTAACATTGAAGTCTATGGGAGCCTTTAACATTGAAGTCTATGGGAGCCTTTAACATTGAAGTATATGGGAGCCTTTAACATTGAAGTCTATGGGAGCCTTTAACATTGACGTCTATGGGAGCCTTTAACATTGAAGTCTATGGGAGCCTTTGACATTGAGGTCTATGGGGACCTTTAACATTGAAGTCTATGGGAGCCTTTAACATTGACGTCTATGGGAGCCTTTACCATTGAAGTCTATGGGAGCATTTAACATTGAAGTCTATGAGAGCCTTTAACATTGCAGTATATGGGAGTCTTTAATATTGAAGTCTATGGGAGCCTTTAACATTAAAGTCTATGGGAACATTTAACATAGAAGTCCATGGGAGCCTTTAACATTGAAGTCCATGGGAGCCTTTAACATTGCAGTCTATGGGAGCCTTTAACATTAAAGTCTATGGGAACATTTAACATAGACGTCTATGGGAACCTTTAACATTGCAGTCTATGGGAGCCTTTGACATTGAAGTCTATGGGAGCTTTTAACATTGGAGTCTATGGGAGCATTTAACATTGAAGTCTATGGGAGCCTTTAACATTGACGTCTATGGGAGCCTTTAACATTGACGTCTATGGGAGCATTTAACATTGAAGTCTATGGGAGCTTTTAACATTGAAGTCTATGGGGGCCTTTAACATTGAAGTCCATGGGAGCATTTGACATTGAAGTCTATGGGAGCTTTTAACATTGAAGTCTATGGGAACCTTTAACATAGAAGTATATGGGAGCCTTTAACATTGAAGTCCATGGGAGCATTTAACATTGAAGTATATGGGAGTCTTTTACATTGAAGTCTATGGGAGCCTTTAACATTGAAGTCTATGTGAGCCTTCGACGTTGAAGTCTAAGTGAGCATTTGACATTGAAGTCTATGGGAACCTTTAACATAGGAGTCTATGGGAGCATTTAACATTGAAGTCTATGGGAGTCTTTAACATAGAAGTATATGGGAACCTTTAACGTTGAAGTCTATGGGAGCATTTAACATTGAAGTCTATGGGAGCCTTTAACATTGAGATCTATGGGATCATTTAACATTGTAGTCTATGGGAGCTTTAACATTGGAGTCTATGGGAGCCTTTAACATTGAAGTCTATGTGAACATTTAACACTGCAGTCTATGGGATCATTTAACATTGGAGTCTATGAGAGCCTTTAACATAGAAGTCTATGGGAGCCTTTAACATAGACATTTATGGGAGTCTTTAACATTGAAGTCTATGGGAGTCTTTAACATTGAAGTCTATGGGAGCCTTCAGCGTTGAAGTCTATGTGAGCATTTAACATTGAAGTCTATGGGCATCTTTAACATAGGAGTCTATGGGAGCATTTAACATTGAAGTCTGTGGGAGTCTTTAACATTGAAGTCCATGGGAGCCTTTAACGTTGAAGTCTATGGGAGCATTTAACATTGAAGTCTATGGGAGCCTTTAACGTTGAAGTCTATGGGAGCCTTTAACATTGAAGTCTATGGGAACCTTTAACATAGACGTCTATGGGAGCCTTTAACATTGAAGTCTATGGGAACCTTTAACATTGAAGTCTATGGGAGCCTTTAACGTTGAAGTCTATGGGAGCATTTAACATTGAAGTCTATGGGGGCATTTAACGTTGAAGTCTATGGGAGCATTTAACATTGAAGTCTATGGGAGCCTTTAACATTGAAGTCTATGGGAACCTTTAACATAGAAGTCTATGGGAGCCTTTAACATTGAAGTCCATGGGAGCCTTTAACATTGAAGTATATGGGAGTCTTTAACATTGAAGTCTATGGGAGCCTTTAACATTGAAGTCTATGGGAGCATTTAACGTTGAAGTCTATGGGAGCATTTAACATTGAAGTCTATGGGAGCTTTAACATTGGAGTATATGGGAGCCTTTAACGTTGAAGTCTATGGGAGCATTTAACATTGAAGTCTATGGGAGCCTTTAACGTTGAAGTCCATGGGAGCCTTTAACATTGAAGTATATGGGAGTCTTTAACATAGAAGTCTATGGGGTCCTTTAAATTTGAAGTCTATGGGAGCCTTTAACATTGAAGTATATGGGAGTCTTTAACATTGAAGTCTATGGGGTCCTTTAAATTTGAAGTCTATGGGACCCTTTAACATTGAAGTATATGGGAGTCTTTAACATTGAAGTCTATGGGAGTATTTAACATTGCAGTCTATGGGAGCCTTTAACATTGAAGTTTATGGGAGCCTTTAACACCAATTCTACGGTAGCCTTTAACATTGAAGTCTATGGGGAGTCTTTAATAGGCGATGCCTGGTGATGCCCAGGATAACTGGGTTTGTGCAGCAGCAGGAGTAGCAGCAGCAGGAGCAGCAGGAGCAGCAGCAGCAGGAGCAGCAGTAGCAGCAGGAGCATCACTCTCCCCTCACCTGACCATCGGGTAGCCATGGAGAGATGTCTTCCCCGTCGCCTCTCTTGCCTCTTCATCCGACGACGACATCCAGCCCGCGTGATAACCGCAGTGGCACCGGCTGAGAGGTGGGGGAGTGTGCGGGGGGTGGGTCTGTAGAGAGTGGCACAGAGAGAGAGTGGTGAGAGAGTGGTGAGAGAGTAGCACAGAGAGAGAGAGAGAGTGGTGAGTGACTCTCTAGAGAGTAGCACACACAGAGTGGTGAGTGAGTAGCACACACACAGAGAGAGTGGTGAGTGAGTGGTAAGTGAGTGGTGAGTGAGTGGCGAGAGAGTAGCACACACACACACACAGAGTGGTGAGTGAGTGGTGAGTGAGTAGCACACACACACAGAGAGAGTGGTGAATGAGTGGTGAGTGAGTAGCACACACACACAGAGAGAGTGGTGAGTGAGTGGTGAGAGAGTGGTGAGTGAGTGGTGAGTGAGTGGTGAGAGAGTAACACACACACACAGAGAGTGGTGAGTGAGTGGTGAGAGAGTGGTGAGTGAGTGGTGAGTGAGTGGTGAGAGAGTAGCACACACACACACAGAGTGGTGAATGAGTGGCGAGTGAGTGGTGAGTGAGTGGTGAGTGAGTGGTGAGAGAGTAGCACACACACACACACAGAGAGTGATGAGTGAGTGGTGAGAGAGTAGCGCACACACACACACAGAGTGGTGAGTGAGTGGTGAGTGAGTGGTGAGTGAGTGGCGAGAGAGTAGAACACACACACAGAGAATGGTGAGTGAGTGGTGAGTGAGTGGTGAGAGAGTGGTGAGAGAGTAGCACAAAGAGAGATATACTCTCTAGAGAGTAGCACACACACACAAAGAGAGTGGTGAGTGAGTGGTGAGTGAGTGGTGAGAGAGTAGCACACACACACACACACAGAGTGGTGAGTGACTGGTGAGTGAGTGGTGAGAGAGTAGCACACACACACAGAGTGAGTGGTGAGTGAGTGGTGAGTGAGTGGTGAGAGAGTAGCACACACACACAGAGTGAGTGGTGAGTGAGTGGTGAGTGAGTGGTGAGAGAGTAGCACACACACACACACAGAGAGTGGTGAGTGAGTGGTGAGTGAGTGGTGAGTGAGTGGTGAGAGATTAGCACACACACAGAGAGTGGTGAGTGAGTGGTGAGTGAGTGGTGAGAGAGTAGCACACACACACAGAGTGGTGAGTGAGTGGTGAGTGAGTGGTGAGTGAGTGGTGAGTGAGTGAGTGGTGAGTGAGAGGTGAGTGAGTGGTGGGAGAGTGGTGAGTGAGTGGTGAGTGAGTGAGTGAGTGGTGGGAGAGTGGTGAGTGAGTGGTGAGTGAGTGAGTGAGTGGTGGGAGAGTGGTGAGTGAGTGGTGAGTGAGAGAGTGGTGAGTGAGTGGTGAGTGAGTGGTGAGAGAGTGAGAGGTGAGAGAGTGGTGAGTGGTGAGTGAGTGGTGGGAGAGTGGTGAGTGAGTGGTGAGTGAGTGGTGAGTGAGTGGTGGGAGAGTGGTGAGTGAGTGGTGAGAGAGTGGTGAGTGAGTGGTGAGTGAGTGGTGGGAGAGTGGTGAGTGAGTGGTGAGTGAGTGAGTGGTGAGTGAGTGGTGAGTGAGTGGTGGGAGAGTGGTGAGTGAGTGGTGAGAGAGTGGTGAGTGAGTGGTGAGTGAGTGGTGGGAGAGTGGTGAGTGAGTGGTGAGTGAGTGAGTGAGTGGTGAGTGAGTGGTGAGTGAGTGGTGAGTGGTGAGATAGTGGTGAGTGAGTGGTGAGAGAGTGGTGAGTGAGTGGTGAGTGAGTGAGTGAGTGGTGAGTGAGTGGTGAGTGAGTGGTGGGAGAGTGGTGAGGTACCTGCAGGGGGAGTGAGTGGTGAGTGAGTGGTGAGTGAGTGGTAAGTGAGTGGTGAGTGAGTGGCGAGAGAGTAGCACACACACACACACAGAGTGGTGAGTGAGTGGTGAGTGAGTAGCACACACACACAGAGAGAGTGGTGAATGAGTGGTGAGTGAGTAGCACACACACACAGAGAGAGTGGTGAGTGAGTGGTGAGAGAGTGGTGAGTGAGTGGTGAGTGAGTGGTGAGAGAGTAGCACACACACACAGAGAGTGGTGAGTGAGTGGTGAGAGAGTGGTGAGTGAGTGGTGAGTGAGTGGTGAGAGAGTAGCACACACACACACAGAGTGGTGAATGAGTGGCGAGTGAGTGGTGAGTGAGTGGTGAGTGAGTGGTGAGAGAGTAGCACACACACACACACAGAGAGTGATGAGTGAGTGGTGAGAGAGTAGCGCACACACACACACAGAGTGGTGAGTGAGTGGTGAGTGAGTGGTGAGTGAGTGGCGAGAGAGTAGAACACACACACAGAGAATGGTGAGTGAGTGGTGAGTGAGTGGTGAGAGAGTGGTGAGAGAGTAGCACAAAGAGAGATATACTCTCTAGAGAGTAGCACACACACACAAAGAGAGTGGTGAGTGAGTGGTGAGTGAGTGGTGAGAGAGTAGCACACACACACACACACAGAGTGGTGAGTGACTGGTGAGTGAGTGGTGAGAGAGTAGCACACACACACAGAGTGAGTGGTGAGTGAGTGGTGAGTGAGTGGTGAGAGAGTAGCACACACACACAGAGTGAGTGGTGAGTGAGTGGTGAGTGAGTGGTGAGAGAGTAGCACACACACACACACACAGAGTGGTGAGTGAGTGGTGAGTGAGTGGTGAGTGAGTGAGTGGTGAGTGAGTGGTGAGAGATTAGCACACACACACAGAGAGTGGTGAGTGAGTGGTGAGTGAGTGGTGAGAGATTAGCACACACACACAGAGAGTGGTGAGTGAGTGGTGAGTGAGTGGTGAGTGAGTGGTGAGTGAGTGAGTGGTGAGTGAGTGGTGGGAGAGTGGTGAGTGAGTGGTGGGAGAGTGGTGAGTGAGTGGTGAGTGAGTGAGTGAGTGAGTGGTGGGAGAGTGGTGAGTGAGTGGTGAGTGAGTGAGTGAGTGGTGGGAGAGTGGTGAGTGAGTGGTGAGTGAGAGAGTGGTGAGTGAGTGGTGAGTGAGTGGTGAGAGAGTGAGAGGTGAGAGAGTGGTGAGTGGTGAGTGAGTGGTGGGAGAGTGGTGAGTGAGTGGTGAGTGAGTGGTGAGTGAGTGGTGGGAGAGTGGTGAGTGAGTGGTGAGAGAGTGGTGAGTGAGTGGTGAGTGAGTGGTGAGAGAGTGGTGAGTGAGTGGTGAGTGAGTGAGTGGTGAGTGAGTGGTGAGTGAGTGGTGGAGAGTGGTGAGTGAGTGGTGAGAGAGTGGTGAGTGAGTGGTGAGTGAGTGGTGGGAGAGTGGTGAGTGAGTGGTGAGTGAGTGGTGAGTGAGTGGTGAGTGAGTGGTGAGTGGTGAGATAGTGGTGAGTGAGTGGTGAGAGAGTGGTGAGTGAGTGGTGAGTGAGTGAGTGAGTGGTGAGTGAGTGGTGAGTGAGTGGTGGGAGAGTGGTGAGGTACCTGCAGGGGGAGTGAGTGGTGAGTGAGTGGTGAGTGAGTGGTGAGTGGTGAGAGAGTGGTGAGTGAGTGAGTGAGTGGTGGGAGAGTGGTGAGTGAGTGGTGAGTGAGTGAGTGAGTGGTGAGTGAGTGGTGAGTGAGTGGTGGGAGAGTGGTGAGGTACCTGCAGGGGGAGTGAGTGGTGAGTGAGTGAGTGGTGAGTGAGTGGTGAGTGAGTGGTGAGAGAGTGGTGAGTGAGTGAGTGGTGAGTGAGTGAGTGGTGAGTGAGTGGTGAGAGAGTGAGTGAGTGGTGAGTGAGAGGTGGGAGAGTGGTGAGTGGTGAGTGAGTGGTGGGAGAGTGGTGAGTGGTGAGTGAGTGGTGGGAGAGTGGTGAGTGAGTGGTGAGTGAGTGAGTGGTGAGTGAGTGGTGAGTGAGTGGTGGGAGAGTGGTGAGTGAGTGGTGAGAGAGTGGTGAGTGAGTGGTGAGTGAGTGGTGGGAGAGTGGTGAGTGAGTGGTGAGTGAGTGAGTGGTGAGTGAGTGGTGAGTGAGTGGTGGGAGAGTGGTGAGTGAGTGGTGAGAGAGTGGTGAGTGAGTGGTGAGTGAGTGGTGGGAGAGTGGTGAGTGAGTGGTGAGTGAGTGAGTGAGTGGTGAGTGAGTGGTGAGTGAGTGGTGAGTGAGTGGTGAGTGGTGAGAGAGTGGTGAGTGAGTGAGTGGTGAGAGAGTGGTGAGTGAGTGGTGAGTGAGTGAGTGAGTGGTGAGTGAGTGGTGAGTGAGTGGTGAGTGAGTGGTGAGGTACCTGCAGGGAGAGTGAGTGGTGAGTGAGTGGTGAGTGAGTGGTGAGTGGTGAGAGAGTGGTGAGTGAGTGAGTGGTGGGAGAGTGGTGAGTGAGTGGTGAGTGAGTGAGTGAGTGGTGAGTGAGTGGTGAGTGAGTGGTGGGAGAGTGGTGAGGTACCTGCAGGGGGAGTGAGTGGTGAGTGAGTGGTGAGTGAGTGGTGAGTGGTGAGAGAGTGGTGAGTGAGTGAGTGGTGAGTGAGTGGTGAGAGAGTGAGTGAGTGGTGAGTGAGAGGTGAGAGAGTGGTGAGTGGTGAGTGAGTGGTGAGTGAGTTGTGAGTGAGTGGTGAGTGAGAGAGTGGTGGGAGAGTGGTGAGGTACCTGCAGGGGGAGTGATGTCGGCGGTGCCACTCGGTACGACTCCTCCACTGGACTCCAGCCCCAGGGAGGAGTCACTCCCCCCACCCTCATCCCCCTCTCACCCCCCTCACCCCACCCTCATCCCACTCCCACCCTCATCCCCCCTCACCCCCCTCACCCCACCCTCATCCAACTCCCCCCACCCTCATCCCCACTCACCGGACTCCCCACACCCTCACCCCCCCCTCACCCGACTCCCACCCTCACCCTCAGCCCCCCCTCACCCCCCTCACCCGACTCCCACCCTCACCTCCCCCCTCACCTATCACTCCATCTCTTCTCTAGCCTGTGCCACTCACTCACCCATCACTCCATCTCTTCTCTAGCCCGTGCCACTCACTCACCCATCACTCCATCTCTTCTCTAGCCCGTGCCACTCACTCACCCACCACTCCATCTCTTCTCTAGCCCGTGCCATCCACTCACCCATCACTCCATCTCTTCTCTAGCCCGTGCCACTCACTCACCCATCACTCCATCTCTTATCTAGCCTGTGCCACTCACTCACCCATCACTCCATCTCTTCTCTAGCCCGTGCCACTCACTCACCCATCACTCCATCTCTTCTCGAGCCTGTGCCACTCACTCACCCATCACTCCATCTCTTCTCTAGCCCGTGCCACTCACTCACCCATCACTCCATCTCTTCTCTAGCCTGTGCCACTCACCCACCCATCACTCCATCTCTTCTCTAGCCTGTGCCACTCACTCACCGACCACTCCATCTCTTCTCTAGCCTGTGCCACTCACCCACCCATCACTCCATCTCTTCTCTAGCCTGTGCCACTCACCCACCCATCACTCCATCTCTTCTCTAGCCTGTGCCACTCACTCAGCCACCACTCCATCTCTTCTCTAGCCTGTGCCACTCACTCACCCATCACTCCATCTCTTCTCGAGCCTGTGCCACCCACCCACCCATCACTCCATCTCTTCTCTAGCCCGTGCCACTCCCTCACCCATCACTCCATCTCTTCTCTAGCCCGTGCCACTCACCCACCCATCACTCCATCTCTTCTCTAGCCTGTGCCACTCACTCACCCATCACTCCATCTCTTCTCTAGCCCGTGCCACTCACTCACCCATCACTCCATCTCTTCTCTAGCCCGTGCCACTCACTCACCCATCACTCCATCTCTTCTCTAGCCTGTGCCACTCACTCACCCATCACTCCATCTCTTCTCTAGCCTGTGCCACTCACTCACCCATCACTCCATCTCTTCTCTAGCCTGTGCCACTCACTCACCCATCACTCCATCTCTTCTCTAGCCTGTGCCACTCACTCACCCATCACTCCATCTCTTCTCTAGCCTGTGCCACTCACTCACCCATTACTCCATCTCTTCTCTAGCCTGTGCCACTCACCCACCCATCACTCCATCTCTTCTCTAGCCCGTGCCACTCACTCACCCATCACTCCATCTCTTCTCGAGCCTGTGCCACTCACTCACCCATCACTCCATATCTTCTCTAGTCCGTGCCACTCACTCACCCATCACTCCATCTCTTCTCTAGCCTGTGCCACTCACCCACCCATCACTCCATCTCTTCTCTAGCCTGTGCCACTCATTCACCCACCACTCCATCTCTTCTCTAGCCCGTGCCACTCACTCACCCATCACTCCATCTCTTCTCTAGCCCGTGCCACCCACTCACCCATCACTCCATCTCTTCTCCATCCTGTGCCACTCACTCACCCATCACTCCATCTCTTCTCTAGCCCGTGCCACTCACTCACCCACCACTCCATCTCCTCTCGAGCCCGTGCCACTCACTCACCCATCACTCCATCTCTTCTCTAGCCTGTGCCACTCACTCACCCATCACTCCATCTCTTCTCTAGCCTGTGCCACTCACTCAGCCACCACTCCATCTCTTCTCTAGCCCGTGCCACTCACTCACCCATCACTCCATCTCTTCTCTAGCCCGTGCCACTCACTCACCCACCACTCCATCTCTTCTCTAGCCCGTGCCACTCACTCACCCATCACTCCATCTCTTCTCTAGCCTGTGCCACTCACCCACCCATCACTCCATCTCTTCTCTAGCCCGTGCCACCCACTCACCCATCACTCCATCTCTTCTCTAGCCTGTGCCACTCACTCACCCATCACTCCATCTCTTCTCTAGCCCGTGCCACTCACTCACTCACCCACCACTCCATCTCTTCTCTAGCCCGTGCCACTCACTCACCCATCACTCCATCTCTTCTCTAGCCCGTGCCACTCACCCACCCATCACTCCATCTCTTCTCTAGCCCGTGCCACTCACTCACCCATCACTCCATCTCTTCTCGAGCCCGTGCCACTCACTCACCCATCACTCCATCTCTTCTCGAGCCCGTGCCACTCACTCACCCATCACTCCATCTCTTCTCTAGCCCGTGCCACTCACCCACCCATCACTCCATCTCTTCTCTAGCCCGTGCCACTCACTCACCCATCACTCCATCTCTTCTCTAGCCCGTGCCACCCACTCACCCACCACTCCATCTCTTCTCTAGCCCGTGCCACTCACTCACCCATCACTCCATCTCTTCTCCATCCTGTGCCACTCACCCACCCATCACTCCATCTCTTCTCTAGCCCGTGCCACTCACCCACCCATCACTCCATCTCTTCTCTAGCCCGTGCCACTCACTCACCCATCACTCCATCTCTTCTCTAGCCTGTGCCACTCACCCACCCATCACTCCATCTCTTCTCTAGCCCGTGCCACCCACTCACCCATCACTCCATCTCTTCTCTAGCCCGTGCCACTCACCCACCCATCACTCCAACTCTTCTCTAGCCCGTGCCACTCACTCACCCACCACTCCATCTCTTCTCTAGCCCGTGCCACTCACTCACCCATCACTCCAACTCTTCTCTAGCCCATGCCACTCACTCACCCATCACTCCATCTCTTCTCTAGCCCATGCCACTCACTCACCCATCACTCCAACTCTTCTCTAGCCCGTGCCACTCACCCACCCATCACTCCATCTCTTCTCTAGCCCGTGCCACTCACTCACCCATCACTCCATCTCTTCTCTAGCCTGTGCCACTCACCCACCCATCACTCCATCTCTTCTCTAACCTGTGCCACTCACTCACCCACCACTCCATCTCTTATCTAGCCTGTGCCACTCACTCACCCATCACTCCATCTCTTCTCTAGCCCGTGCCGCGCCCCGTTTTGCCCCCTCGATCCGGCTAAACACGCACACCGAGATCCCGTAAGAGACCGCTCGGGGCAAGTGCTGTTAGCGAGTACTGTTTGTCGCAGGTCCGAACGGGTGGTTGGCCAGCACCACGCCCGGCCGCCTTTGTCTCCCGAGTGGAGATGTCGACCTAGGGGAGGCCCAGGACCGGTTCAGATAATCGTCACCGGTGTTGGCCCGTGAGCAGGAATCGATCTCGGGTCGGCGTAGCGCGAGTGCGCTAACCACTGCGCCACCGCTCCCCACACTATAAAGACAAAGATACCCCGTATAGCCTAAACAGACTTGGGGCAAGTTCTGTTTGCGAGCACTTCTTATTGAGTGTGTGTTATTGTGTCTGTTATTGAGTGTGTTATTGTGTCTGTTATTTAGTGTGTTATTGAGTGTGCGTATTATTGAGTGTTTGTGTGTACCATCAGCCCTACCAAAACGAAGCACCTGCCTGGGTATTTTCTACCATCGGGCACTCCACCCCCACAACTCCCAATCGGTGATGGGGCAGTTGTGGAGTTTCCCATACCTGGGTAGTGCGCTCCTGACTGACTCCGGTTAACAGCAGAGGTCTCACTCCAAATCAGTCGAGCGGCATTATATTTTCATCAGTTGCGTGAAGCTGTGTGGAACCTACCTGGTCTGTCGCTCCGCAAGAAGCTTCGGGTCTTCTCGGCCACAGTCATTCCCTCCATTCTCTATGCTTGCGAAACGTGGACCCCACTAATGGAACGTCTTCGCCGGTTAGAAACTTTTAGGCTGGTCTGCCCACGATCAATCCTGGGTTTAACCTGCAGGCTGGATTGTGTGAGGAGCTCACAAATCCTCGAAAGATCTGGACAAAGTCCCATCGGTGAGCACCTCCGGCAGGCAAGGCTGCGTTGGCTGGGCCATGTAGCCCGCATGCCCAAGCCTAAACAGCTTTTGTTCGGCCGAATCGAGGGGGCTAAACGGGCGCGGCACGGGCTAGAGAAGAGATGGAGTGCAGGAGGACGTGGAGCTGAGTGGACTTGCCGATGACTGGTACCAGCGGTGTCAATATCGGCCTCTGTGGAGGAGGCTCGTGAAGGACGCTACTGGGCAGTTGGAGGCAGTCGCCCTCCAACAACAACGGAGGGCGGAGGAGCGACGCTCACAACAACGAGCGGAGCGCCGGGTGGCTAAAGCACAGCAAGTTGGCACAGTAGGGGGCACAGGTGGTGCATCAGCCAGTCATCTCAGTCATCTCGGTCAGTCGACCCGTGGCACCTGGGTCTGCCCCGTGACCTCCTGCCAGCGGGCGTTCGACACTTCACGTGGCCTCAAGGTGCACTTGGCCTGGCACAAGCGTCGTGGTGACGTCACCGCCACTTAGTGGCGAATGGCGGTTGTTGTGTGTTATTGAGTGTGTGTGTTATTGTGTGTGTTATTGAGTGTGTGTGTGTTAAATTTCGATTTAAAGCTTTCGTGACTGCAGGGATTCATCTTGGTTCTTTCGGTAAAGTCACGTAGAAGGGAAGTAATACAATAATAAAAAATAAAACAAAACTTCCCTTCTACGTGACTTTACCGAAAGAACCAAGAAGATGTGTGTGTGTTATTGAGTGTGTGTGCTATTTCGTGTGTGTTATTGTGTATAGGTGTTATTGAGTGTTATTGAGTGTGTGTTATTGAGCGTGAGTGTTATTGAGTGTGTGTTAGAGTGAGTGTGTGTGTTATTACGTGTTATTGTGTGTGTTATTGAGTGTGTGTGTTATTAAGAGTTATTGAGTGTGTGTGTGTTATTGTGTACGTGTGTTATTGAGTGTTATTGAGTGTGTGTGTGTTATTGAGTGTGTTAGAGTGGGTATGTTATTATGTGTGTGTTATTAAGAGTTATTGAGTGTGTGTGTTATTGTGTACGTGTGTTATTGTGTGTGTGTGTTATGAAGAGTTATTGAGTGTGTGTTATTGAGTGTGTGTGTGTGAGTTATTGTGTGTGTGTGTTATTAAGAGTTATTGAGTGTTATTGAGTGTGTGTTATTGAGCAAAGTGTTGAGTTCTCGTTCTCGCTATAAAGACGGCTGGGGATAGGCGATGGATAAAAAACTGGCCATGCAGCTCGTGGTGGGGTGGGTCTTACCTGGTCAAATAAAATAAAACATTTTTTAAATCCTTTATATTAAGTTCACTTGCTTGCTTGCTTGCGCGCTTACGACCGTGCAAATCTTTCGGTCGTTTTTAACCCACTTCCCGTGATCCAATCGAGCTGTTCGTGACAATTTATTTTCGTGAAAATTTTTTTCCAAAATTTTCCACTTGTTAGGAAAAAAAAAATGTAATATTTTATTTAAAACACCAATGTGATAAAAATGAAACGCTTACTCAAGAAAAACAGAAATGAATACTAAAATAAAACCGATGCCACGCATATAAAGGATTTATAGTGAAAAACTTTGTTTTTACGGGTTAATTTTTTTACAAATAATAAGTGGATAGCAACCCGATCGTGGCCACGAGGTTGGAAGCCGGCGAGAGGTGAAACGGGAGAGACTCCACGCCACTCCCAAGACCCCGCTAGATGGCAGCAGGACTCCGAGGCTTTGATCTCAATCCCATCTTAGTGACATGTTGATAGCGATGATGGTGAGCCCACGATCAGAGGTGGGTTTTTTTGGGGGGTTAAATCGCGTAAATATAAAATGTGTGTCATTAAACCCGCCACCACCCGACACACAGATCGTAACGCAAACCAAACGAGGCTAATTCGTGACACGTTCGGCACTTAACCGGTTGTATGCTACAATCACCTGGTAAAATAAAACACATTCCTGCGGAGGGAGCTGGTAGGAACGTTGGGTTGCTCGGTCAATGGCCAGGGTCAACGGCGGCGTGGTGTATTCCGCAAATATGCCCGACTGTGAGGGCGGGCGCAAGCCGGCGTGAGTAGGTTAAACGTTGAGTTTTATAAGGGCACCACGGGGCAGCCCCTCCCCACCCCTCCCACCCCCCACCCAGCCCTACCCTCCCCACCCAGCCCTACCCTCCCCACCCAGCCCTACCCTCCCCACCCAGCCCCACCCCTCCCATTTTTGGATGCACGACGGACGGACACAACAATTCCCTGTGGGCTGGTGTAACCAGAGTTTCCTACCAGTAATAATTGAATAGCAGCTGAGAAATATGGTGCGGTGTGCCATTGTCAACGTTGACGTGGCCGCAGTCTCCGACGGACACCCGATTAGTGGCGCACGAGTAACGAATTGGCCACCTCACTAATTGGCCGTGTCGGGTGGTGGCGGGTTTACCGACACATTTCTATGTTTACGCGATCTAACCCAAAAACATACCTCTTGTGGTTAATATTGGGCGCGAAAGCCTCTTCGTACGTGTTAAGATGATGACGATGATAGTGGTGGCGGCGGCTGTCAACAGCAGTGGAGATTATCTGAACCGGTCCTGGGTCTCCTCTAGGTCGACTCGGCCTCAAACGAGTACCTGGTGCGGTGTGTAAACATCGCTACTGGGGGAGACAAAGACGGCCGGGCGTGGTGTTGGCCACCCACCCCCTCGTCGTGTGCCGTTCCGGCCGTCATTGGTGCTGCCACTCGCTAACAGCACTTGCCCCTAGTCTGGTAAAGGCTAAACTCATGGGGGATCTTTTGTCTTTGCACAAAGCCGTACGCCGAGAGGCAAATGCGGAAGACGTGATAAATATGAATAATTATGTTTTATCATTTTATCTGCCAACAAAACGGACTCCTTTTACAAGGGATGTTTGCGTTGTCTTTGAGTTGTGCGCCTTTTGGCGTCATCTGGTCCAACACCATGTGAGACTGGGCTCTAATAAAAGCTGCCTCGGGTGTGGACCAATCAATTTCAAGGACAGTGCATACATTATCAGAGTTGTTTCTTTTTGTTTGCATTTTGACCGCAAGTGTTGTGGTTAATGCAAACATGATCCCTTGTAAAAAAAGTGTCAGTTTTGTTGCCAGATAAAAGTGTAAAACCCAATTACTAAAAGCCACATTACGGTGAAGCGTTGCCCGTGTGAGCTAACCTGCGGCGAATGGAACATACAATGGAGCACTCTGCTACCTGTTGCTATAATTGCTACGGAGAGCCGATCGCGTATTAAAAAAAACATTTCGATAATAAATGAAGGCAATGATGAATTTTTTCGATTGAAAGCTTTCGTGACTGCAGGGATTCGTCTTCTTAGTTCTTTCGGTAAAGTCACGTAGAAGGAAAAAAAAACATAATAAAATTATTCTCACGACGTTTCGGCCACAACGCAAGCAGCCGTCCTCAGGTGAAAACCAGGTCTGTCGGGGAGACAGGCCACAGTTCACATTTGGGGGCCGGATTCAGTGCCAAGGCGTCTGTGTAACGCGTGCAGGGTTGATGTCGGTGTGCGTCTGGTCACGATTGGAGGCACGGGGGCAGCCCTCGGAGGGACACTTATAAATCGAGCGTTGCTGCCGTTTCACAAATCTCTGGTGCTCATCTCTTGTGGTAGTCGTCCCACTTCTCGGGAGGACAGCACAACGCAGAGTTATTTACCCATCGTCATCGTCTCCAAACTTTAATTTCAACGTGTCGCCCCGGTGAGGGTTCGCGTGATGTGACGGGACCAGGGCGGACCCGCTAACAAAAGTTGGCTCTGCACTTAAAATTGGCCAAATTCCGGCTCAGGAGAATAAAAAACAACAACAGTTTGACCAGCACGCAAATAAACACATTCCTCCTGCGGAGGGAGCTGGCAGGAACGTTGGGTTGCTCGGTCAATGGCCAGGGTCAACGGCGGCGTGGTGTATTCCGCAAATGTGGTGGGTGGGTGGTGGTGTAAACCGGAGCGCCGGGCGAAACAACAGAATCCAGTCTTTTATTTTCTGAACGGGGGAGAAATACAATCGGTGACACGGCCGTGAATGAAGCGACGGGTGCGTGCGTGAGCGGGTGCGTGGGTGGCACGCGTGCGCTCAGAAATGAGAGGAAACTCCAAGGAAGCGAGATTATTTACACGGAACGTACGGGGGGGGGGGGGGGGGGGGTCCGTTCCCCGTGATGGTGAACGGCCGAGCGGCCGAGAGCAGCGCCGTGACGGAAGATATCCGTGAGGACGCCGCGTGGCTGAGTCACCGCGACGGACGACGATTCCACGAAATGAAAACAAACTAAAATTAACCCCCCACCCCCTTCATCGAGGAGTAAGCGGTCGTGTTAAATGAGTACACACAAACACACACGGCGCAACGACACGGGAGCGTGCGCAAAAAAAACATGCAATGATGTTTAATTGTTAATTACAAACTCTCCTCCTCCCCCCCTCCCCCCCAAAAAAAATAAATCCCCAGCGGACGGGGTGAGCTACGAGCGATAGGAGTAGCGCGCTACAGATTCACAATCGTCAGCAAATTTTGAATTTCCACCAAGTACTTAACGCCACGATTAACAACAGGCAAGATTTTTTTTTTTTAAACGGCAAAATTATAAATATTTTTCACACCCCGGCCGCTAGTAATCCGACTGCATTTTTGTTTTAGCGCGGAGTTTTTATGTTTGATTTCTTTCAACGATTTTTTTTGTTTACCAGGTAAGGCGCCACTGAACTGCTATACACAGCTCTTTCTTAGCAGCCACCTGGCGATCACAAATGATAGCTCAACCAAGTGGTGTTATCATCATCGTGTGGAAATTTTAAAGCAGTAGCCAAATAATCTAACGGCGTGATATCGAATCTAAATGTGGAGGGGAGCAACCGGAGAAAATTCCACGCGACCACGGGGAGAGAGAGAGACACGCACGCAAACTCTAAATATACAGCGTCAAGGTCGGGTTCGAACCCACGACGTCCTGTATACCAGGCGAGGCGACACCTCGCCACTGTGGCCGCCGCGGTTAAAGATTGTTTAACCCGCCGGCGGCCGTCATGCCAAATCCACACGTGGAGAGCGCAAAAGAAAAACAAAATAATCTCTCCGCCCTTTGGAATCCAACTCATCGTTAAAATTCTCTTCGCAATCTCTTAGCGATGGAGGGCGAGGGGGTTGGGTGGGGGGGAGAGAAGGCATGCAACGATATAACTTTGTTAAATCACACGCTTCGACGATCACAGTCATGCACCAACACAAAAGGATAAGCTTCTACGGAGACAGAGCGAGTAATTCAGTAATTCGTGGGACGGCAGGAGAGAAATGGCACACCCCCATTGCAGCGACGACACGGACACGTGTGCGTTACAACCTATTTTGTAAAAACTGCACGCACTCACGCCACGAGGTGGGGGGGGGGGGCGGCAGCGGTCACGTGACCTCGCAGAGCCTCTCCCCCCTGGCGAACGGTGAGACCGTCCCTCCTCGTCACGAACAGCAGGCGTCGTGGGGCCGGAAACACGCGCCGAGCTGCAACGCGCAGAGGTGCGCTGCTGCTGCTGCTGCAGCTGTGCCCACAGGGTGCGTCACGTGACCACCGCGCTCAATGTGCCTTGCCCAGATCACCAGGCTCAAAAGCCGACTGTGTACGAGACCTTCCCCTTCTTTATGCAGTTAGCGTAGGACCGTCGCGCCAAACGTGTGACCTTCTGTGACCGGATTCGCGTGAGCCGCCCTCCCGTACGAGACCCAATGACCGTCAAGACAATCCCGGATGGTATAGGGCAGGGGTCGGCAACCAAAATAACAAGAAGAGCCATTTCTTTCCAATTCGGTACAAAATTCAGTATTTCAAGAGCCGCAATGCATCTGAGTACATACGTACTCATCGTCAAGAAGCAGCCCGTAAAGAGCCGCATGCGGCTCCGGAGCCGTAGGTTGCCGACCCCTGGTATAGGGGGTTGGTAGCAGCAGCAGCAGCGGGCATTCGCGACTGCCGTGCTTTATTGGCGGTCTCAACGACGATGCAGCCGGAAGGTTCGGCTCAGGGGCTGGTGGTGTGGACAAGGCCGAGAGGGGACGTCGGCGCTCGCGGCGTTGGCGATCGCGCTGCCAGCGTGGACGGGGAGTCGCGTGGACGGGGAGTCGCGTGGACGGGGAGTCGCACCTCCGCCCTGCGGCGCGCTGGCGGCGGCACTGTCGGCGCAACCTTGGCGCGGTCAAATCAACGAGCGGCACCACCACAGCGGCTTCAAGCGTTGTTTACCGTTCACCGACCGCTGGTCGGCGAGGGACCCCCCCCCGCCCGCCCAAGTTCGTGATTTTCCAGACCCCAAATTCCTGCGAACGTTTTACAAAATGTTTGCAACGTAAAGGCCGAAGGGTGTGTTGGGGGTGGGGGGTGTACCGAAGGAAATTGAAGGGCAAATAGTTTGCCGGCAAAAAACTGTTTCCGCAGTCGCCGATTGCGATGGGAAAAAATAAACAAAACTCGTGTGCCTTCAAAAGTAACCTAATAATGCTTCATTGGCCCAAAAAATGTTGAACGGATCCCACCGCAGCGATCCGTCGCGAGCACAACTGGCGATGGCAACTTTCAGCCGTGGCGCGGCCCAACCGATGACATCAAGCCCCATCCTCTCCGTTAGAGAAAGGGCCGATTGACGTCCGGTGCGTGCGTGCGATGTGGGCAGGTGAGAGCGAGATAGAAAGGCCGTCGTGCAGTGAGTTGTATTGATCAATCCGCTACGCTGGGTGGGATGTGTGTGTGTGTGCGGAAAAGGCAAGGGCCGATTGCCGGGACAGACTTTGGGGGTGGTCTGCACGGGGATCTGGGTCTCTACGCGAGTCCAAGGGTCTCCGTTGGGAGCGCGAGTCTACGGGTCTGTCTCCTGTACGATTCTGCATATTTCTACGGGAGTCTAAGGCCAGATGGTCGGATGAGCGAGTAAGACTGTCAGGGCAGACTGACGAGCTTGTGTGTGTATGGGTCTCGACCGGTGTGCGAGTCTATAGTCTCCGATAGGAATCTGCAGATCTCTATGCGAGCCCAAGGCCAGATGGCGGGATGGGCGAGTGTGACTGTCAGGGCAGACTGACGAGTTTGTGTGTGTATGGGTCTCGACCGGTGTGCGAGTCTATAGTCTCCGATAGGAATCTGCAGATCTCTATGCGGCAGCCACAGCAGCAGCCGCCGCAGGATCTGGTGGAGAGGGGAGACTTCGTTGGACAGGAGCGTGCGGGAGTGCCGTGAACGTTCTTGGTCGCGTTGCCATTGTGATCTTGTACTGACCGAGCAGTTGACAATCACCAAACGAATTCTGCTGCCCTGCCCAATTTGCCATGCTTGCCCATGGTTGCCCACAGTTGCCCATCGTTGATTCCTTGCCGGCCAACGATTGCCGTAAAACTATCCCCCACGGTGGGATCACGTTGTTAAGTTATTGCGCCAGTGAGCTAAAACAAGCTAAGCCCGCACGAACGCGCGCGAATAGGGATGGGGAGAAAACAAGACGTTTGGAAAGGGAAATAAAAATTACACGTAATACTCAAAATTAGAACGATTATCATTATTATTATCATCACACCTACACATACGTTCGTTCAATATAGAATTGTGTGTGTGCGTGCGCGTGCCCTCGCGTATATCTTCGAAAGCAGAGGGTTGGTTGTGGTGGTGGTGTCGTTGTGGTGGTGGTGTCGTTGTGGTGGTGGTGTCGTTGTGGTGGTGGTGTCGTTGTGGTGGTGGTGTCGTTGTGGTGGTGGTGTCGTTGTGGTGGTGGTGTCGTTGTGGTGGTGGTGTTGTTGTGGTTGCTGATGGAGCTTTGAGCAGGACAGAAGCGGCTGCCACAAGCCGGGCCAAGGAGGAAGCGGCAACGCTAAACCTTGGGGGGGGGGGGGAGGGGGCGGGAGAGAGGAAATCGGAATAAACATTGGGGACAGACCTCAACAAGCACACATAGCTCCAGCCAACAGGACTGGCGTTCTCTTCCTATACCAAGCACAGATTCGGACGTAGCGTGGAATCCTGCTGCGGTCACATCCAAGGGGTGGAGCACCCCAGTTAGTTCACACCTCTCACTGCTGCACCCGACAGGGTCCCGAGTGGAGCACTTCCAATCAGCACGGTTGGCTACGTACGGTGCAGAAGAAGTTATACATATGTACTTGCCCGTAGACTCAACACTGCCCGTAGACTCGGCACTGCCCGTAGACTCGGCACTGCCCATAGACTCGGCACTGCCCATAGACTCGGCACTGCCCATAGACTAACACTGCCCATAGACTCGGCACTGCCCGTAGACTCGGCACTGCCCGTAGACTCGGCACTGCCCATAGACTCGGCACTCTCATAGACTCGGCACTCTCATAGACTCGGCACTGCCCGTAGACTCGCCATTGCCCGTAGACTCAACATTGCCCAGACTCAGCACTACCCACAGACTCAACACTGCCCATAGACTCAGCACTGCACCTCCGATTAGCACGGTTGGCTACGTACGGTGCGGAAGAAGCTCAACGCACGTACGTACAACACACACAGGGGCTTGACCGATGATCCGGCCCTCACCGATTCACTCGCGTCAGGGAAAGCACGGAGGAACGGACCCCCCCCCACGCGTGTTTATGTTGGGGCGATGGCGGACAATGAGAGCCGTTTCATCGTGAGGCAGATCGCAAGTTGTTTTCAGGGTCACCGCAGCTAGCGTCGTGTCCGGCAACTTGTAAACGGTGTAAAGGTGCTGCGGAGGACCTCTTCTAAAGGGGAACTTGGCCTAGTCTTCCGCGCAGGTCAAACTTCTCGTTATGCGTGTGTGTGTGATTAACTTCTTTCGCACCGTACGTAGCCAGCCATGCTAATCGGAGGTGCAGTGTTGAGTGTACTGGCAGTGATGAGACTATGGGCAATGTTGGTCTATGGGCAGTGTTGAGTGTACTGGCAGTGATGAGACTATGGGCAATGTTGGTCTCTGGGCAGTGTTGAGTGTACTGGCAGTGATGAGACTATGGGCAATGTTAGTCTCTGGGCAGTGTTGAGTGTACTGGCAGAGATGAGACTATGGGCAGTGTTGAGTCTATGGATCGTGTTAGTATTTGGGCAATGTTAGTCTCTGGGCAGTGTTCAGTCTATGGGTCACATTGGTCTATGGGCATCACGTATGTGTATTGAACTTCCTTCGCACCGTACGTAGCCAATCGCGCTAAATCGGAGGTGTGGAGACAAGCCACCCACACTTCACCCCACGCAACCCGCTAATCGCAGCCACACTGCGGTGACCCCGTGTGACATCGCTGGGTGTGTGGCGGGAGTGGGGCCGAGGAGATTTGAGAAACCCGCTTCATAGTTGACCGCTGGCGTGCCAGGTGGCAGCGTTAAACCCCGGTGTGACCTCTGGCGGTCCACCGTGAGAACCATTGCACCCCAACGGGAAGGGGGGGGGGTGGACCAAAAAAAACTCGCGCATTTAACGCTCTGAAGGAGTCTCTTATTTTTTGGTTGGAACGCTCCTGGTGAGTGTTGTTGATACTAACCGCCGGGGGTGGGGGGGTGGGCGGGATGATTCAAATCGCAGGACCCGCTTAGTAGGGGTGGGGGAGGCACGCGTCTGGCACACGGCTTGACAAGAGGATAGAAAAATAAACTGTCGCTCAAACGTAAACACAAACGCGGGAGACGTTAAGCCACCTCGGCAACGCGATGAACCCCGGGCGGGCGGGCGCGGGATGAAAGGCGATCGCATCTCGGGGGCCCCACACCCCATGTGTGTGTGTAAACCGACCGCATGGAAAACCGCTCGCGGTCACCGCACGCCGGCGACACAGGATTCCGGCGACGGTTAACGGCCACGACGGCGCGTGCGGCCGCGGTCATAACCGTAGCAAGCAGAGCGAGCTGCGGTTACGACAACAACAATAGATGTCCGATGATTCGTGTAGGAGAACGGTTGCGGTGTGGCCCCGACATAATCCCTTCATTTGCAAGCGTGTCCCAGCTTGCAAGGGGGGAGGAGGGGGGTTGGTGGCCAGCATCACACCCCAGTGCCGATGTCTACCATACACTTAAATGCACCGGGTATTTGGTTTGCGGCCGAGTCAAAACAAGGCGAGGCCCAGGACCGGGCTCAGATACTCGTCACTCATGCACTGTTACTGTTGGTGGCGAGTGGGAATCGAAATTGCATCACCGGGTTCGTGACGCTGCGCTAACGCTTACACAAAGACAAAGATCCCCCGTGTAGCCTGGAACAGACTGTTGAGGCAAGTGCTCTTAGCGTGGAGCACCTATGAAGGCCGACACGGCACACGAGGTGGTGGGTGAGGCCAAGCACTACGCCTGGCCACCTTTGTCTCCCCAGTGGCGATGTTTACACGCCGCACAACAAGTACACTCATGATGAGGCTGAGTCGACCTAGAGGAGGAGGCCCAGCAGGGGTTCAGATAATGGTCACCGATGTTGGCAGTGAGCAGGAATCGAACTCGGGTCGCCGGGCTCGGAGCGTGGCACGCTGACCGCTTGACTACTGCTTCCTAGTACCAAAGACAAAGATCCCCCGTGTAGCCTTAACAGACTGTTGGGGCAAGTGCTGTTCGCGAGCACCTATGAAGGCCGGCACAGCTCACGAAGGGGTGGGTGGCCGACCAACAACACGCCCGGCCGCCTTTGTCTCCCCAGTGGTCATGTTTTATACACCAGCTACTCATGAGGCTGAGTCAACCTAGGGGAGGCCCAGGTCCGATTAAGATAATCGTCACTGTTGTTGGCCGTGAGCGGGAATCGAACCTCGGTTCGCCGGGTTTGAGGAGCAGCGTGGCAACTGCTACACCACCGCTCCCCAAACACACACACACACACAGGGGCACATGTCCGCGCTCACAATCTCACAAATTGCACAGACCAACCCACCTCGCACGCAGCCTTACCTCCGTATACTAAGTTAATTAGTATTGCGCTGACGAACCTTCTCCTTGTGATTGTTGGTGGAGTTGCTCTTCCTGCAAAGACAACAGGGACACGAAGCAGGCGTCACGCGCATGTGTGTGTGTGTCTGTGCGTGTCTGTGCGTGTCTGTGCGTGTCTGTGCGTGTCTGTGCGTGTCTGTGCGTGTCTGTGCGTGTCTGTGCGTGTCTGTGCGTGTCTGTGCGTGTCTGTGCGTGTCTGTGCGTGTCTGTGCGTGTCTGTGCGTGTCTGTGCGTGTCTGTGCGTGTCTGTGCGTGTCTGTGCGTGTCTGTGCGTGTCTGTGCGTGTCTGTGCGTGTCTGTGCGTGTCTGTGCGTGTCTGTGCGTGTCTGTGCGTGTCTGTGCGTGTCTGTGCGTGTCTGTGCGTGTCTGTGCGTGTCTGTGCGTGTCTGTGCGTGTCTGTGCGTGTCTGTGCGTGTCTGTGCGTGTCTGTGCGTGTCTGTGCGTGTCTGTGTGTGTCTGTGTGTGCGACCACGACGACGAGGTTCAACTTAGCTGCGGTTACTATATTGTACATCGAGTACAGCCTGGTTCTCCTATAACGCGGTGGGAGGTGCGTTCCTAAAGAACACCGCTTGATGGAATAAAAAAACGCGTTATAATAAACAATGGAGGGGTAAAGCACATCTTCTTGGTGCTTTCGGTAAAGTCACGTTTTATTTTTATTATTTCCCTTCTACGTGACTTTACCGAAAGAACCAAGAAGATGAATCCCTGCAGTCACGAAAGCTTTAAATCGAAAGGGTAAAGCACGGTCCGCGATAATGCGTGAAATGCGTACGCGGGCCGAACAAAGACTGAGGGCGCGTGGCTAGCATCTAGAAGCATCCAGCAGCATCCCAATGCCTTGTGCGGATGTTATGCAGAGGCAGCCGTGACATCCACTCGTTTCTAATCGCGCGGCAGGTCACTCGATCGCGTCCCGTGTTACAGAAAAACCGTGTTCCATAATACAACATTCAACATCTACCCAATTCGCGTTATGAAAACAATACACTGCGTTATAGGAGAACACGTATGTTGAACTTCTTTCGCACCATACATATTGGCGCTCTCGTTCTCATACACGCAGCGCTGCTGATTTTCAAGAACACGACAAGTGACTGCGGTAGCTACACGGCAGGCGCCCACGTCGCCTCGCGTTGTGCGATCCCAACCCGAGACAAATTTGGCAAACGCGGTACCGTGACGCCCGCACACACAAGCGGAACCCTCCCCCCGTTTCCCCAACGACGTCGAGGGGGATCTTTAACGTCTCCCCTGGCGCGTGGCGGCTACGACTAACACGCCACGCACAACGTTCACCAGCGCGGCCTGCCGGGTTCGAATGGCTTGGCCCGACGTGCTCTTACCGCTCGCCACGTCAGCGCTGTGGTACGCACCCTTGGATGATATTGGTATTATGGATGATATTGGTATTATTGATATTGGTATTATGGATGATATTGGTATTAAGGAGGATATTGGTATTAATGATGATACTGGTATTAAGGAGGATATTGGTATTATGGATGATGTTGGTATTAAGGATGATGTTGGTATTAAGGATGATATTGGTATTAAGGATGATATTGGTATTAATGATGATACTGGTATTAAGGACGATATTGGTATTATGGACGATATTGGTATTAAGGAGGATGTTGCTATTAAGGAGGATATTGGTCACGAAGCCTACGCATTAAACTCACTCTCGGGGAACCTGATTACGATCCGAGATCGAAAATCCGGATAACGTCAGTGGTGAGAAAAATATCTAAAAAACGGTCCTGAGCCTCCCTACCACCATCATTCATCCAACTGCTACCGGGGGCAAGATGTTAACTACCTCGCCTGGTACACAGGAGTTCGTGGGTTCGATCCCGTCCCCGACGCCTGCTGCATATTTGGAGTTTGCAGTCTCTCTCTCGTCCCCGTGGTTAGCGTGGAGTTTTCTCCGGATCCTCCAGTTTTTCCCCTCCACATTCAGAGTATTTGGCTGCCGATATAAATTTTCACTTCGTTGGGATATAATTTGTGATCGCCAGGTCGCTCCTGAAAAAGAGCTACGGAGCTCAGTGGAGGCCTTACGTGGTGAAACAAAAACTAGTTTAGTTAGTGTGGCAAAGTATGGTTAAAACACAGAACCCCCCCCCACGCCACATGACCCGCCAAAACCGGGAAGTGCGACCGGAAGTAATACTCACAGGGGAGCTGGGTCGTCATCTGTTGAGAAGGCGGCCGCGTGGGCAAACGTCACCGTAGGAGAAAGGAGGAAGAGGAAAGAGAAGGGAGAAAGTTAGGGCACAAACTTGGGCGCAGTTACAACCAACGCGTGCGCGCGTAACGACATCACGTGCCACGACGACTTCCCGAAACAATTACAACGAGAGTCACACTCGGCACGAGACGCGGGGCGCGCGGACGACGCAGTCGTGCCGAACCGCGCGTTGCTTTCCGGCACGACTCCCGAGGTCTTCGCCGTGCGTGCCGGAAAGGGGGGAGCGGGGGCAGGGTGGAAGCCGATTCTTCGGAAAGTAAACTTCTCGAAGAAGCAGCGGTGGCAGCAACAGCATAGCAACAGCATAGCAACAGCAACAGCATAGCAACAGCATAGCAACAGCACCAGCAGCACCAGCAGCATAGCAACAGCAGCAGCACCAGCAGCAGCAGCAGCAGCAGCATAGCAGCAGCAGCAGCACCAGCAGCAGCAGCAGCAGCAGCGTCGCAACAGCAGTGTGCGCAGCAACTCGCGCGGCGGACCCGTCGGGACATCGCTCCGAGCAAATGCGCGTAGCAGGTACGACACCCGAGACCGGCACGGGAGAGTCGCGCGTGGCACGACACTCCAATCGTCACATCCACACAATTAGTGGGAGGGGGAAAACAATGGAAAGGTCGCCGGGTCAGAAATGGATTTTGCCGTCAAATTTTGCTCGTTTAGGCAAAGGCCACTTGTCCGAAACTAGGCAACGCAGCGGAACCTGAGGGCGGCATCGGTTAATACGTGTGCGACGCGTCACGGCGGGCAGGCCGCACGGGGGATCGAGTTGGATACCAGGGGTATGGGAGATCCTCAGGATTTATACCGTAGACGAATAACTCGGAGGTGAAATCGAAGAGGTGTGTGTGTGCGCGCGCGTGTGTTCCCGTGGCCACGTAGAGGAGAATGTAAAGGATAGGAGTAGGGTAGCAAGGAAGATCGGGAAGAATGTCGGCAATTTCGAGATTTATTTATTTTAAAAGTGGCAGATGCCGAGCGGCGTCTTTCATGGCGATCGGTGGCGACTTGACACGCGGTGACTTTTAGACGCTGCGGATTGTAATTGTGACCCTGTGACTGTTTAATTAGAATTTAATTGAGCTGAACGAGTTCATTAAAACTTAAGAGCTTGGTCTACTTGGTTCTTTCGGTAAAGTCACGTAGAAGGGAAATAATAAAATAATAAAAATAAAACATAATAAAATAATTCTCACGACGTTTCGGCAACAACGCAAGCAGTCTTTCCGACAGACCTGTTCTTCACCTGAGGACAGACCTGTTCTTCACCTGAGGACGGCTGCTTGCGTTGTGGCCGAAACGTCGTAAGAATTATTTTATTTTATTATGTTATATTTTTATTACCCTTCTACGTGACTTTACCGAAAGAACCAAGAAGATGAATCCCTGCAGTCACGAAAGCTTTAAATCGAAATTTAAGAGCTTGGTTCAACTGTTCTTAGTTAATTTGTACAATAGACTTTGGATGCAACATTAGAATTTACATGGTTTCTAAAACGCAGCCGCATGCATCTCAGCGTAGCGTCTTGTTTTTTTCACGTACCGACATTCCGGGGTCCAACGATGGATAATTATTATAATCGACGACAGAGGCGCCATCGCAACTCGTCCTTGGTGGATGCCCATTGCTAAAATATTTCAGTTTAGCGGGACGATCAGAATTCTTGCAACGGAAAGTCCTCGCTTGCATGATACCCGAGGGAGTGGGGGGGGGGTTCAATTAAAAAATCGGGTCGTCACCAATTAATTACAAGAACAGTGTAGCCATCATTGGCGATCTCAACAGAACAACGTCACGGTAAATTTGAAGCATAATCAACCCCCGGTGTGATGTTGTTTGTGTGGCGGCATTCTCGGCGGCCTATTTGGGTTGAGTGCAAGTGGCGGAGGTTCAGGTTGGGGGCCTCGGTCCGTCTTAGCGCAGGGGGACAGATCGCAGGAAAGCACGGCATGATATTAAACACACGCAAGGACAAACAAAACCACAGACACGCGCGCGTGCTAGCACACGCGCGAACGCGCACGCACAGAGCCATAAGCAATGCGCAACAACATCCGTGCACACACACACGCCGACACACAGAATAGATAACACGGCGCAAGCGCGCACACACACACCGACTCACTTCAGCAGTGGTTAACAATTCACAAACGCAGCCGTTTCGCTTGCTTTGCCTTAACTGTTGAATTTCCCCCAAAAGATTGCATCCCGATTGCATTATCTGCGTCCGAATCGTCGCGAGAGACTAAGCGCCCGCACTGTACCCCTCGCAGAGCAGCGCGGTACCGCTGGGAAACCCACGGAAGCGGAGGTCACAGAGCTACTTCTGAGACTCCTTCTAGTTGGGTAGCACTTTCCCTCCCGCTCTGCCATACGGGAGGAACCTTTGCCGCACAACAGTCAAACCCGTACTCCTAATTATCGGAGCCGGAATTTAGTTCAATTAAGCGCAGAACCCAATTGAAAGTGTTGGGTTATTTTGCTGTTTTTGTGTTGCTGTTCAGTCATTGGGGGACCGGCTGTGAGACCAATCAACCTCGCTAACATTTGAGACAATCCGGTGTAAGTCTCGGTCGGTGGCTGTAACCCAGATTGGAACCCGTGACCCTCAGACGCCTCCTGCTCGACGTCCTGCGACCTTCCGATCCAACCCGGCGACCTCCCTGCGTTTCGTAAACTTTGTGCGGTCAAACAAAAGCGACGCGGCGCGAGTGAGGAACAAAAACACAACCGGCGGCGTCGCGCGGAAACAAAAACAAAGAACTCTCACAGCACTGGGCGCCGGGCCCACACACACACACATGGCGTGCGCACGCGCGCACACACACACACACACACATGGCGTGCGCACGCGCGCACACACACACACGCGGCGTGCGTACGCCACACGCCTCGCCTTGCGCAAGCAGAATCGACTCATCGCCCTGGAATTGGAACTCAAGATGACCCAAAAAAACTCCCCCACGCCGATTGTGGCTTTCTCGATTGATGGGGGGGGGGGGGGGGGGATAAAAAAAAACCCGGGGAACGGGCCTGCACGTGCGTGCTCGCGTGTGCTTTTGTTTTTAAACCTAATTTTGGTTTGTCGTGAAACCCGCAATTATAGCGGAGCTTTCAGAACCAAAAGCCGAATGCTTCCGACGGCAACGTCGGTAAATCGACCTGCGCCGTCTCGGCGATTCCAACAATTCCAAACGGGCGTCAATTTCTGCTATGCCGGGACGATGTCACGTGTAAGGCATTTGGGGGGCGGTGGTGAGACACGCACACACCACACAAACCTGGACAGGTGGAGAGAACACGGAGGACAGGTGGGTGTCAGAATGTTTATGTGTACACCAGTGGCGGTGGGGGGAACGGGCTAAAGCGTATGACTATCAACATTGTCGGCTTGAGTCCAAACGAAACGGGAGGCTGCGCAAGGAACCGAAAACCAAACCCCAAAAAATCCTCCGCTGAAATTTGTCGCGTTTTTTTTTGTCGCTAAGGTAGGCCGCCCCTCCTGCACCCTAGCAACGACGATGTAGTTTACTCAATGCGAATAAACGCACCGCTCGGGAGAAACCGGGCGTCAGCGGCTCACATTTCTTAAGCCACCCCCTATCAGCGACAATGTGGAATGTGGAAATCCCAGTGGCGTAGGGGACGCGCCGGTTCGTCGACAGCCAAACGAAAAAGACGAAAAGGCACAGGTGGCGAGTGCGGGGATTGCCGGAGATGATGGCCATGGGGGGTGGGGGTGGGGGTGGGGTAAGAAACCTTTTAAAAGTTAAATAATAATTTTAAAAAATGCCGTTGAACTGAACGGGACTCTCACGATACAAACAGAAGACAAACGACAAAAGATATAGAACCGAAAAAAAAAACGAGAAGAAAAATAATAACTTTGGACACTCCAGACTTTAACCACCACATCACAAACCGGCATGCGTTTGTAATAGGTCGCACTTACCACCAGATATAAGACAAGAGGCAATTGAGGGGAAGGAAGAAAAGGGGAGTTTCATTAACAAAAATCCCAAGGCAATGGCATAAAAAAATATATTAATATTATTATATCTATGGGCACTTTTGAGCAGCGTTCAAATTTCACTTTCGGAAGAAAAAAAAAAGTTTTTTCTTCTCCGCAACTAAAAATCCACGCAAGTCACAACACGTTCAAGAGTTGTATCATTTTGCACGGTCCTCGCGTGTGCGCAGAGTTAGCAGCAACTTCACTCGCGGGTCGCAGACGCCAACACCTGGCGGATTTCCCCTGTTGTAGATTAGGAGTTTGCAATTTCTCCCCGAGGTCACATGGCTTTTTCTCCAGGTGCTCGGGTTTTTCCCTCCACATTTAGAACCCAAATCACGCGTTTAGAGTGTTTGGTTGCTATACATTTCCACGTGGTGATGATGATAAGCCACTTCGTTGAGCTATCATTTGTGATGGCCAGGTGCTTCTGAAAAAGAGCTGTATAGCTCAGTGGGGCCTTATCCGATAAAAAAAAATATTTTACGCTAATAGTCTAGTTTAGAATGAGATCCCAGCTACCTAAACAACAGTCACGCTTCTAGAGCGACTGCTGTTGGCCAGCATGGTGCTGGCCACCCACCCTCTCGTGTGCCATTCTGGCCTTCATAAGTGCTCGCTAACAGCACTTTCCCAAACAGTCTGCTACAGGTTACACAGGGGATCTTTGTCTTTGTTTGTTGTGTGTGAGAAAGCACACTAGCCTTTTGCCAGGCACAACAACATTTCCATTAAACATAAAACCGCTCATTTAAAAAAACCGTGTCTTTCACGCCTCTCTATCCTCCGCACCGTGCCAGACGACAGGCTAACGCATGCCAGGTGCGGCCGAGGGGCGGTTTCAGGCTACGCAGCGAGTGGCTATGGCTAAACAAACGGCCACTGTTTACAGATGCGCCACTGACACCTAAACAAAAGGTAAGAACACCGGAGGCCGTAGAAATTCACAACACCACAATCTCTCGACACTTCATCGTGCATCCCCCAGCCGCTCACGGAACCCCTAATATACCACCCAATGCTAATCCCTCAAACCCCTACAGACGTTTTTTTAGGTGTCCGGGTGGGGTGGGGTGGGGTGGGGGTGGGGGGCAGGCTAACCAAGCGGCAGGATGCCACCTTCCACACGGTAAACAAAAAAAAACACAAAATGCTTGAGCGCAAGGCGGTTCCTCGCGGAGGCCTGCACCTGGCGCCGTCATGCGTTTAGCGGCGGCGTGTGGCGACGCGTGGCGACGCGTGGCGACGCGTGCGTACCGTCGGGCACATCGTCGGGCTTCTTGCGTTTCTCGTAGATGAAGATGATGGCGATGAGGATGACCACCTCGGCCACGATGCCCAGGAAGGGCCACAGGGCGGCGAGGCGGCTGCGCACACGCAGCAGCAAGGTGTGCGTGGCGGTGCCCTCGCTGTTGGTGGCCTGGCACGTGTACTCGCCGCCGTCCGTGTCCACCACCAGGCCGTGCAGCGACAGCACCGTCTGGTTGCCGGTGCTGGCGATGGTGAGCCGCCCGTCGCGCGAGCCGTTGGTCACCCCCACCACGTTCTGGCGGGTGTCACCCACACGTTGGTGAGCGAGCAGAGGAGAGAGTGCAAAATAAATAAATATACAGGAACTCCTCTGATAATTGTTTTTTTTTTACCCTTTAATCTGGCAACAAAACTCACACCTTTTTTACAAGGAGTCATGTTTGCATTGACCACAATACCTGCAGTCAGAATGCAAACAAAAAACACAACTCTGATAATGTATGCAGTCCTTGAAGTGGATTGGTCCACACCCGAGACAGCTTTCCTTAGAGCCTAGTCTCACATGGTGTTGGACCAGATGACGCCAAAAGGCGCACCTGTGTTTTTTGTTTGCATTCTGACTGCAGGTATTGTGGTCAATGCAAACATGACTCCTTGTAAAAAAAGGGTGTCAGTTTTATTGCCAGATAAAAGGGTAAAAAAACAATTATCATATTTTGCTACTGGCAAAGGAGGTTCCAGTGGTGTATAGGAACTCCTCTAGTTATGAACAAGTTCGGTTCCAGGTCTGTTCATAAATCAATCTGTTCTTAAGTCCAACTTTTCTCCTGTCGATTCCAAACACGTTGTACGGCATGTACACTAAACACAGGGAATAATGGTTTTAAATGTTGTATAATCTCCTGCAGATGTCACCACCGTCATCTATTGCGCAGCGGTTGACCTTACGACTCTTGGTCAGAACAGGCAACTGGACATACGGACAGGTTTGTTCGTTTCTCTGAATGTTCGCAGAGTCAAATGTCCGTAAGTGGAGGAGTCTCTGCATATAAATATATACCAGTCAAGTTTTTCACCCTTCGTAGTCACCGATTTATGGGCGCCGTGCGGAAATGAAGCGAAGCATCCTGGGAAACGGTAGAGGGAAGAGGCCCCCGTGGAAAATTGTGAATGAGGTAATAAACTAAACTAAAAACTATAATATTTTATCAGGTGTAAGGCCCCACCGACCTACTATATAGCTCTTTTTTTAAAAGTAACCTGGCTATCACAAATGCGCGCTCGATGAAAGTGGCCTACCATCTAAAAAGTTACAGCAGCCATATACTCTAAACGCATTCTAAACGAGCGAAAAACCGGATCACCCAGAGAAAAATCCACGCAACCACGGGGAGACACACGCCAACTCCAAATATACATACAGCAGGCGTCAGGGTCGGGGTTAAACCCACGACCTCCTGTATATGAGGTGAGGGAGATAACATCTCACCACCGGGGCATCCGTGAGTGAATAAGCGAGCGAGTGGTGAAGCGAGTGTGTTGAGTATTTGGCTGCTTCTTCTTGGTTCTTTCGGTAAAGTCAGAATAGGTCTGTCATTCAGACTGTCTTCTCGACAGACCTATTCTTCACCTAAGGACGGCTGCTTGCGTTGTGGCCGAAACATCGTGAGAATAATTTTATTATGTAAAATTTTTATTATTTTATTATTTCAATTCTACGTGACTTTACCGAAAGAATCAAGAAGAGGAATCCCTGCAGTCACGAAAGCTTTAAATCGAAAAATACTTGGCTGCTATGACACGGCACGCACACGCCACCGGTGGCGTGCGCGTGTGGGGGAGAGAGAGGAGACGCACACTGACATCATTGTCTCTGGGCTTGTAACTCCAGGTCCAGTCGACGTCCGGGTAGCCGTTGCACTTGCACACCAGCTCGGCGGCGTCGCCCTCCCCGTGGTTCTCGGACTTCTTGTGGGTCGTGATTTCTGGCCAAGCTGCACATGCACGCACGCACGCACGCACACGCACGCACACACGCACGCACACGCACGCACGCCAACCTCCAGTCATTCTCGCAGCAGTAGCAGCGGCGGCGCCTTCCGGCTAACCTTCGAACAAAGATGGGTCACCGCATCGCGCGGCGCTTTGGGATGCGTTTCTGCGGCCGTCTGGAACACTTTTCCTTCCGACATGAGGAAGCTTACTGGAGCGGTGAACTTTTAAATCACCTAGATTGAAAACGCATTTCTTTTGGATTGCGTTTTGTGTTTAGTTTGTTGTCCTTCCTTTGCACCTCCAATAAGCACGGTTGGCTACGTACGGTGCGAAAAAAGGTCAACATACATACAAACACATGAGCATTGAAACACACAAAAACAAAGATCCCCCAATAGCCTTCACAGACTGTTGGGGGAAGTGCTGTTAGCGAGCGACTATTAAGGCTAGAACGGCACATGAAGGGGTGGGTGGCCAACACCACGCCGGGCCGCCTTTGTCTCCCTGTTGCCAATAATAGAAAACATTGTATCAGGTACTCAATTGAGGTCAAGTCGACCTAGAGGAGGCCCATGACCGGTTCAGATCATCGTCACCGATGTTGGCCGTGAGCGGGAATCGAACTCTGGGTCGCCGCGTTCAAAGCGCAGCGTGCTAACCGCTACTCTAGCGCTCTCCGCTATGCACAGGTACACGTACACAAACGTGTACATGCATATATGGCCACCACGCACACACACACCAGTTACAATGCAATGGTTTATCATGAGCTATGGGAAGAAACGAGAGAACCCAGGAGGAAACACGAGCAAAGACAAAGATCCCCCGTGTAGCCTTAACAGACTGTAGGGGCAAATGCTGTTAGCGAGCACCTATGAAGGCCGGCACGGCACACGAGGGGGTGGGTGGCCAACACCACGCCCGGCCGCCTTTGTCTCCCTAGCGGCGATGTTTACACATCGCACTAGGTACTCATTTTAGGCTGAGTCGACCTAGGGGAGGCCCGGGACCGGTTCAGATAATCGTCACTGGTGTTGGCCGTGAGCGAGAATCGAACTCGGGTCGCCGGGTTCATAGCGCAGCGTAGCGCTAACTGCTACACTATCGCTCCCCACGAGCACACACACACACGCAATCGCCACTCAATCGCCACGCAGAAAAAGGCGCTCGAGGTCGAGAATCGAACCCGGGGCCCCTCTTGCTGCGCGGATGTTTTCCGGCGTGCCGCCAGCACCACCACGCCGCCAACACCACCCTGCCGCCAACACCACCACGCCGCCAACACCACCACGCCGCCAGCACCACCACGCCGCCAGCACCACCACCCTGTCGCCAGCACCACCACGCCGCCAGCACCACCACGCCGCCAACACCACCCTGCCGCCAACACCACCACGCCGCCAACACCACCACGCCGCCAGCACCACCACCCTGTCGCCAGCACCACCACGCCGCCAGCACCACCACGCCGCCAACACCACCCTGCCGCCAACACCACCACGCCGCCAGCACCACCACCCTGTCGCCAGCACCACCACGCCGCCAGCACCACCACGCCGCCAACACCACCCTGCCGCCAACACCACCACGCCGCCAACACCACCACGCCGCCAGCACCACCACCCTGTCGCCAGCACCACCACGCCACCAACACCACCACGCCGCCAGCACCACCCTGTCGCCAGCACCACCCTGTCGCCTGCCCGCCCGCGCGCGTCATGCCGGCCCCACCACGCCACACGTACATTTCACGGTGATGTTGCCCTTGGCAAGGGGCGAGGTTTGGAAGACGCAGACGTAGACGCCCGAGTGCTCGGCCTTGGCTTTGGCGATCCTGCAAAGGAGAGAGAGGAAGGAGGGAGGGACGACACAAGAGGTTGGTTGCTTTGGGTGGCATGGGGGGCAAACGCCGACCAGGGGGTGGGGGGCGGGGTCTGGCAGTCGATTTTATTCAGCGAAGTCGGCTTCCTCCACCCCGAGATGGACAAACTAATCTCTTTACAACTGCTTTTTGTCTTTAGTCTGTTGTCCTTCCCCCCGCACCTCCGAATAGCACTGCTGGCTACGTACGGTGCGATAGAAGTTCAACGTATATACGTAATGCCTGAAGTGACTGGAGGCCGCTACATTCACAAAATAATGAAAACAATTAACTGGGAGATCCCCGGGTTTAGAACCCGTCCTAGGCAGGAAGTTGACCTTCAAATCGTTCCATCACAAGTTGCTCAATGATTCACCCCGCCAGCGTTCACCACGCCAATTGTTCACCACCACGTGCCGCCGTGCGCGTTGTTGTATACTAACCCTTCTTCCATAATTGAGATTAATAATATTTGATGATTTTTATATATTATCTTTTTACTTGTTTTTTAATGAGTGAAACACACCAAGCGCAGCAAACTGCAAAACACCAGGTGTTGTTAAGTAATGAACCGGAGGAGGGCTAGGATGGCAGAATTTACAACGTTGCTTCAAGGGAAGATAAGGCCTGATGAACGGGCACATGTCACCCGTGCAGGCGGCAGAGACAGTGGGAGTGTCAGCCAGACATAGTTAAGGCAAAAGCCCAATCATCCTGCATGGTTTTAAAGTAACGTCAAAATTCGAAATTCAACAACAGAGTAGGCTAAATTATCGATCCTCGCGCTCGCTCAAACTGGAGACCAGGCTGCGAGCTACATCAATGAACCATTGCCCATTTGCTAATCCAATACTGAATGTTAATATTACTGAAGTCAAAACGAATTCTATGACCTCAGCACATGGGCAAATAATAGGGCAGTGTCGACTCAAAGGCAATGGAAGAAAACAGAGGCGCCTTTGTCTAAATCACAACCACAGAAAGCCAGGAATCATCACTGATTGTGTGTTCAGGAATTCCGAGCTAGTTAGAACACGTGCACAGGGGGGGAGCTGATGTAAACAACCCTGCGCGTCTGGATGTGAGGGGGCCTTTGACCTGAAAGTAAGAATAACACTCCCAGAGCAGAAGGTTGGATGACCACAGTGAGACGAGAATAAGAGTGGTGTATATCTCTCAAGGAGGCAGACCCAGCTGAACAACAAGGCTGCGGGGTCACCAGAAGTTCGCATTCGCCTAGTTAAGACAAAAAGCTCAATTATTCTGTATTGCTATTAAAGTAACGTTAAAGTCGGAATTTAACAACAGGGTAGGCTAAAGTTATCGATATTCACACCCACTCCAATTAAACCAGGCCACAAGTTACGCCTACTGAACCATCACCATTATTAAGTCAATATGAAATGTTATTTCCATACTTCAATACTTTCTATACAATTCGACCCGAAGCATATGACAATCAGAACCTTCCTAAGTCAAAATTGAATCGCACCCAGACAGGAGCGAATAGTCAATATAAGGTTGAAGAGGGAAGGAAATCAAGAGCACGGCGAACTGCAAACGTAAGCAAAAAGCCGGGAACAACACCAGCCCAGCAACAGCGAGTGGGGCTTCGACAGGCCATAAAGTAGAATAATAACTCCCGGGGTCAGGGGACACAAGAAGAAGCAGGCAGACAAAAACCAGAACTGACTCCAAGGTTCAACCGCCCTCACCTACTCAGGGGTGACGGAAATTAATGAGGCCTTGAATTAACGGCAGGCAACAACAACGGCGAGCAGAGATAGGGTGGGGCAAAGACTGCGGGCTATGGAATGCAACTTCGTGTCAGTAAAGCCCTGACAAACAAGTTAAGTTAAAGACATCACAATACATAATATCGCACATAACATCAATGTTAACGCTATTCACCGTAAACTATATTCCGCTTATATAACCATCCAGGCACCAAGGAATACGAATTCCTAGGATCAAGAAACTTACCCCTTAACCTAAGATATCGGAAATAAATTAATAGTAATAAGTATATGCATGAAAAGACAAAAGTAAAACTTATGGAAAAGCCAGGATAACGGGATGAATCACCACCAGGTCGAATATAAATACATAATAAAAAAAAAAACAATGTTAAACCCAGGGTCGGAGAGAAAGGGAGATCCCGGCCGTCTTTGTATCCCCGCAGCGCGGGATAGGAGTGTGTGTACGCTCGGGGAAACACCTACACTTGGGTCGGGAACCACGATGGGAAACGACAGACCTTAGGTTACATACAGAATCATAACTGTGAAATAGTAAGGGACAAATGTTAACTTAAAACTTTTAACCATTTCTTTGTGCGCCGGGTCGGAGAGAGTGTTGCCCCTCCCTCCAGGTTGTGCAACACGAACAAAGACGCCTATGAGACGATTTGTAACGTCTGTGTTTTGGGTTCATGAAGAAGGCCAGACAAGAGATAAATTGCACCCAGACAGAGAGACGACTTCGAGACAATTTGTAACATCTGGTTGTTTGCTCGTGGGTTTTATGGAGGGAGTTGACAACGGAATATACCGTCAGTGATGCACACAAGGACATACGGACACACACATGGACACACCTGCCTACGGACAGATCCTGACACAGCAAAAATCGGAAGCCCCGCCTTGTGGGCGGGATCCAGGGGGATTTTTCAGCATAAAGGAACGGATCCTGAACATTGGAAACCAGTGCGACGGGAGGGTCCACTCAGAAGCTCGACCGGGAGGGTCGACTCAGGAACGAGTGCGACCAGCGGGTTCACTCAGGAGCGCGACCGGGAGAGTCGGCTCAGGAGGAGTGCGACCAGTGGGTCCACTCAGGAGCGCGACCAGCGGGTCCACTCAGGAGTGCGACCAGAGAGTCGACTCAGGAGCGAGGGCGACCAGCGGGCCGACCCAGGAGCGAGCTCGACCGGGAGGGTCGACTCAGGAGCGAGCTGCGACCAGCGGGTCGGCTCGACTCATCTTCAGCTCGTCAATCTCTGCTGCCGCCGGAGGTCTCCGCTGCCGCCGGTGGTGAGCGTCGCGACTTGGCGACGATCCAGCGCTGCACGCTACGAGCGAGTTGTGGGCGCCACCTACCGACCGGGTTCCGAACTGCGACAGCGTATCAACAGCCATCCGAGCCAATTCACCACGGTGACAGGGGAGCGCCTGATACGTATGACGCGCACCGCCCCCTCACCACACGACCACCAGGCGTCTGTTTGACATAAAGAATCGACTCCGAACACTGACTATTCAAGACAACTCTTACCACTCAAACACACTCGAACCCATAAGTCATCCGTGGCTGGGAAGGCATCACAACGAGACCGAGTGGTGGCCTCCGTCGTATAAGAGTATTCTTAATTTTTATCTTTAATATTTAGTGGGCTGTACTCTTAATCGCATAAATTCCCAACAGATCCATCAATACGAACTGATTCTTGGCACCTCCTTCCGCCGAGCCACGCTCACGTGGGGAGTGGTGGCCCACCGGATCCTTATCAGGTGATCTGGTCCCCAATTAGTAAACTTGGTATAAGATAACGATCTTCGGAAAAGGAGCACCGTCGCAGGCCCTTACTCCGAGCCGTTCTGCTGTCAGATAACCTGCCGATGTATCTGTTGAGATTGGTGCCTTTAAGAATAGTAACTGTTTTGATTGTGTTTTTTTTTTTATCGCCGTATAATCTTTCAAGTATCCTTCAGTCATAATCGCCGCACGTACTCGCATCCTCTACAGAATATTCAACTGTCCCGTGACCCAAGGTGTTAACAACGTGATAAGGGTTGCGTATGATCAATAAGGAGTGCGGTACTGCGTGAACAATATTGAGTATAATCATTCATTAACGTTAAGGTTTTCTTAGCATAGTATTTGCATGTTTTAACGACTCTCTCTCTCACTAACAACCATCGCGTTATGCGGGATCCATGTGCAGTTGTCAAAGTGAAATCAGACAATCGTTGATGATACTGTATTGATGCCGTATTGACGTTCCGGGATTGAGAGTTCGCATACTATATCATAGTTAAGGTTGAATTAGTAATAAATTGATCAATACAGAAGTGGTTGTGTGATTCTTTCCTGAAATCTATGCATAAGATCTGTTTCTGCGTTGAGATTTGAACTTGGTGACCTTAATAAACACACTAATACATACTCAGTAAATGTTAAAGCGATAACGGGGTGAACCGGGGTCTGGTTATCATAACGACTTGCGTTATCATAATTACACCCACTCGCATAATTAATACGATTACCTCTCGAATTGGCATAATTAAAATGTGCGTAATTACATAATTAACATATTTCCGGATAATTACACATTTGGCCAAATTTCATTAATTATTATTATTTCCACTGAATATTCATAACCCACACATACAACATAATAATTCACCCACGCACGCATACAACATAACAAATTTTCATAACCAACATATACAACATAATGGGGGCTCGTCCGGGATTTGAACCCGGGACCTCTCGCAGACAGTTATGCATGAATTCAGGAACGAATCACTGATGTGTTAATCAAAGTGTTGTGAACTAACGTTGCCTTGTGATTGTAAACGGGGGTATACAAACAAAACGCGCTCTGAAGGGAGGTACCAGAGTAGCAGAGTATAACAAAGACAGCTGGGCTGAGATTATTTGCTCGAGTTAAACTGACGCATCCTGTGATACAATTGTTTATATGTGCTCTGAAAGGGAATTCTAGAGTAACTCACGACGCACATGAGATGTTAGAATTAAGATACACTCTTAAGTCTATTAACCACACTACATAATAGAGATGGCACAGGATCCACAACATTCTGAGTTTGACACACCAACGCATAACACTGATACAGAGTGGACCTCTGAGGAGGAGATGGAATCTATGGAAAAACAATATCGGGAATTTGTGTTAAAACGTACTGGACGGACTGCTAGCCAGCAGACGGAGCAGAGAGATATATGGGAGG